AGTCTTGTCCCAGAAAAATATTCTATTGTATTTAGGTTCCTATGCCATTCTGATCACCGAAGTATGATGTGATGAGTTTTAAAAAAACAGTTGCAAACCGCCCATAGGAGGAAAAGAGTTAGAGATTAAAAGAACCTGATAGAATGATTATCCAAACTATTTCCCATTAGTCAGCCTTAGGAGAACTATTAGTGATTACTATAGTCCCTCGAGAAGGACTATAAAGGAAACGGATTCATTCTACTTGTAGGATACATAACAACATCATTTCCTCATTTTCATGGCACAGCACTTTGTTCACTGAGGGTGACTGAACTGCCATAATGACACTAACACCTACTGTGACTGATGTCCAAATTCATAATGAGCTGGAGCACTTCAGGCATTAAAAGGTAGGCCTAAAAGTCTGTGAAGGATTTAAAATTGTAAATGAGCATCACATTGGTTTAAGAAACACAATGACTCACTATGAATTACTTGGCCAACGTTGCAACAAAATTTCAAGATAAAATACGGTCAGTAGTGCTTAGGGACCTTCGGGTGGAGGGAGCTATAAAGATTTTAACAGCAACTGTTGAATATAAGAAACTCATTATGACCACACCCAGTATCTCACATTACAAATCTACAAGCTTTTTTCTTTTAATGGACTTTTTTTATCACCATTTTGACTTTTTTCACTGCTCTCCTCAATGCAAATGCAAAGACCATGTCTTGCTAATACTTTGTCTTTCTCTGTGAATCCTACCATTTTCCTTCCTATTTTTCCCCACTCTCTAAGGTCTCCTAGCAATTTTCTGAGACTCCCCATTTCTCAGGCACCCCACAAGGTGTATTCTTGCAAAGAGAAGATAAAGCAAACATTTTCAAGTTATGTTACCGACCTTTTCAGGAGTGTGCATTTCCCACCACTGTTGCTCAATCCTCTTTCCTTGTCAGTTGTCCTCTATTTCTTACTCTATCCTAGATGAGGGCTGAGTCTCATCTAGCATACTCTGATATAAGCTGTAGCTGAATGGAAGTAATTGGAGTTATAGGGTGTGTCTACACAAGATGTTTACTGCAGAGTTGTTAAATTAGCTGTGCAGTAAAATGTCAGCTTCTACACATGTGTAGAATGGAGTAAACTAATTCACTCTGCCCTAGGTTAGTACTGCCAGACACAAGTACTATCCTATGGCAGAGTTATTTACTCTGCCACAGTGCACATGTAGATGCCAAGGGGGCTGGCTGGGGAATGAGGGTGCTTCAGTACAAGGGGCTACCTGCTGGCTAGCCCTGCACTGAATCACCCTTGTGCCCCAGCCAGCTCCTTGGCAGCATATTGACCCGGGTCAGAGCAGTCCTGGGCTGGCAGGCTGACCCCCCGGTTCCCCTTCCAGCTGGGGCTTCTCTGCCCCAGATCAACATGCTGCAGTCTCGGGTGCACGTGGAAACAGCATGCCTGGGAGCTATACATTTGCAGATATGTAGACAGAGTGTAGACATACTCAGAGTGTAAAACTGAGGCCAGTTTGGTCTGGTCTTGTATGAGGAACTTCCTGTAAAATGTCCTAGGAACAGGGATCCATGACTGCACCCTTTCTATACACTCACCCTCAAGCCACCCCACCAGGAAAAGGTGGTAAAGAGGGAATGCAGGCTCCTAACTGACCAGGTCTCAGGTCCAGCACCATTGTAAACACCTCGAAGACAGAGAGGAGCTGATGCTAAAACCATGCCATACACATCAGGGACAGCCAGATTCTTATTCACAGCTGGGCCCTTTTCCAATATTCTGGCAATGGAAAATGATCATAAAGTGAATGTCAGTGATGGGTGTGGTGATATTTGTCTCAATGTACTGTCAGAGCAATATAATGGGGCCTTCTTTACACAGGAATCCGGTCCCAGACGTCAATGTTGTATTGTCCAGTTGACAGTATATCTGCATAAAGTTTCAACTAAAAGTGAAACTGCACCAAGAAAATAGCGAACCACTTCAGCAAAACTAATTTTAAAAGTGGAGGCGAAAATAAATCAGCTAACTCCTCTTAAAAGGCAGAGCTACACAGCCCACATAGTGGAAGCAGCCAAACTACTGCCATCCTCCCTCAAGAGAATAAAAGAGGACATCTGTGAGGAATCCTCCCCTCCATTTCTACAGAGCACCAAGAGCAGGAGTTGAAAAAGATATTAATCACATTATGTTCTTTGTACATGAGGGGAAAAAAATCCCTATGTGGGGGATAAATATAACTGAGAAAAAAACCCACCTACCTTTGAAATCTGATTTCAGGCTGAAAATAAAGGAATGCTTTTTATTTGATTTCTTTTTGAAATATAAGGTTTTTTTTGCCATAAAGTGCTTCTACAGCCTTAAATGTACGTACGTGGGAAATATGCTGTGGATCTTTATTCCACAGGAAATAAATCAAAGAGAGATCCTCATCACCTCTCCCTCGCTCTTGATACCCCCCAAAAGTGGAAAGAACATGTACACTTTCCTAGCGGACTCGATGGACTCTGTAGCTATCACTTCACCTGCCACAGAAATTTGTAGCTCCCCTGGTTAGCCCTGCTGTCCTGCCCAAGTTCTAATTTGAATTATTAGATTTTGCATGTTTTAAGAGCTCTGTGTAGTAGTTTCAATTGACCATGATTTATGGTCTTTACTTCCTGTCCCAAAATCTGTTGTTGCATTGCTCTGCACAGTTCAGCAGTTGAAAATCAGTTAAGCCCAAACTTCAAGTAGTAGGTGAAGTGATTCATATATATTAAGTCTGTAAAAACACTGTGGGATTCTTCAGGGGGAAAAAGACACATTTATAAATGCAAGTCATCATTATCATCAATAAATTGGATGTTGGAGACACAATAGCTGAATTCAGGGGCAAGAACATTTCTGAGCTTCATTTATATCTAAAAATATAGATCTACACCACAGTGCTCATGAAATTCTTTTAGCTGATTTTAATAACAGTCATTATATTAAAAAATGAAACTTCTCCTTGTGACAGAGATGAACTGGGAAGAAACAAAGAAAGAAAAGTAACTAGTGCAGCACCCCTGTGCCCTTCTGGAATTGCTGTTCATCATTCTTTCTTTCAGCAGTTCACTTGCTCCTTTTGTGCAAAAGGTACCACCATCTAATGAAACAATTAAGGCTTGACAGTTTAAATATGCTATTCTGTTCTTTTCAGACATAAGTGCCAGCCATCAAGACAAACTATACCCACTGCTTCACTATCAGCAGAGTCATTGTTATCCCAGATAGAGTGCCCTAAAAATAAAAGCCATTCTCTCTGTGCAGCTTCATCAAGTCAGGTCATGTCAGCCCCACAGGACAGACTGCACTGTACTAATTTTATTATACTATTTTTAAACATGGCCTCCTTAGATCTTTGAGTGTGTCCTACATAATAATACAGAATCGACATATGGTGCTCGAGGTTTAAATCCCCCATCTTTAACCAACCCCAAACTCCCAAGTATCCCATACAGTTTGTATGTTCTAGCCACAGTAATGATGAAGTGGTTACATCTGGCTTGATGTCACCTGTTGTACATTGCTCAGCAGTTTAAAGGTCACGAGATCAAATCAAAATTAGTACCTACCAGATCAATGTTAACATTTTTAGTGCCTTAGGCAATATTTCACAGAGAGAGAGCTTCCTCCAAAAAATGAACTGAATTTTACAAGCCCTTGAACAGCGTTTCAGTGGGAGGATTTCATTCTGAATTACTTCAGCTGCACTAATGGTTAGGAGTCACCCTGAGTAAAAATGGGCTCTCAGACAGCAGATAAAAACCCTCATGTCATCTTGGTATGTTTGAGGAATTCGGACTCTGAGTACTAGATAACTGCCTCCCACTTGTAAATCAGCTTTCACAGGAGACTGTCAAAGTTGCTCACAGAAATTAAAAAGCTCAGAAAAAGCACAGCAGATGAATGACTCTGGGCCCCTTCTCCAAGGGCCAAAGTCTCTATAGATACAAACTTGTGTTGTTCCATTGCCTTGCAGTGAGACATGCTGATTTATGCCAGCAGATTTCTTTTACTGTGCATCCCCCTTTTTGTTCTGACCAGTTCATAACTTAAATACTTTGGCTAGATACTAACTGTAGATATGCCTAAAAGATACAACATACAAGGGAAACCAACCCCCCCCCCCAACTATCCTATAAGATTAAGCCATTTTGTCCACTCCCTAAAGTGAAAGATTAGAGGCTGGTTTCTTATCACTTGTTAGCTGTTAAGAAAAACCTCTACCTGCAATACAGGTGTTATTAGATTATATACTTTGGCAAGGAAGTTGAAGTAACATCAACCAGATGGAAAATGAAGCAATTGGTGCTACAGATCTTGTAAATGATTCTGTACATGAAGTACAATAGTTAAAGCTAAAGAGATGGTGGTCAGCAGTCAGCATAGGTGCCTATACACATGCTCCAACACATTCTAATTTGAACACATCAGAGCAGACTCAATTAATCAAGTCTGCTCTGCGTTCTAATTAAAACACTCTAGCGTCACCACAATGTCACGTGTACAACCCCTGTGGGTTTAAAAAGAGCCACTGCAGTGCTTTAAGTAAAGCTTATCGCATAAGCTAGTTAAAACACCCCATGGCCATCCCATGTTTAGTTAAAACATCCCATGGCCATTTTTAAATGCATGGGGACTTAATACGCATGACACTGTGGTGTTTCAATTAAGGCAGCTCTCTGGGAACCACAGCAATTAACCCCCTTCCCCAGCCCAGCACATGCATAGGCAGCCCATGAAACTATTCAGAAGGAAATTCCAGATCCTTGAAGGATGTGTGGCCAAAGACCACCAATGAAAGTGGTGTGTGTGTGTGTACACACATTTATATTCTTCACTTCCTGCCTCAAACTCTGTAAAATGCATGCATGCATGTATGTATGTGTTCATTAAAACAAATGCTTGCATATACTTTATGTATCTTTACACTTACCCAGTACAAAGATGACACCCAAGTAGGCAGTTGTATTACCTCTTGGTGAGATTCATTTCAAGATTTTATGCTGTAGGCAGATTAACAGAGCAGGTCCATGTAACATAAAATCTGGAAAGGGAAGAACAAATTGTCAGTGTCAATCAGTCAAATAGATCCTGAAATGCTTTTGAGCCTATAAAAATCATATATGTCAAGGCTTGTATAACCCAATTATCTATCCCCAACAATTTAATTTGTTTCTCTGTTGCTGCTTACTCCCATACTATCCGTTGACAGATCAAGGTAATGATGAACAAGAAATGCCTAGAGACCAGGCTTGGCTGTTAGAGTCCAAAAAAAAAAACCAAAGAAAGAAAGAAAGAAAAAAGCCTCTACAAAAAAACACTAATATTTCTGCTCTTCCACTGCCAACTCAAGGGGCAGCATTAGAGCAGTACAAACTGTGCAAGTTCAGGGTCCCCAAACCTGTGAGAAACTGATTAGCAGCCATCAGCTTCATAGCTACTGTCAGACAGGATATCTGATACCGAA